CTCTCATTGTTCATGGGCTGTATATATAAAATGAACCTTACCAACTCAAGTTTTTACATCATTACATCATTACTATTTACTTATTTGGCAAAAATAGAGTATGAAAGTATCTTTAAGTCTGAAATCTGGGTAAAATGGAAGTCTTGGCAAACACCTGTAATTAGAAACTACCCCTAGTGTAAGAGAGTGTATTTTTTTTATAACAAAGATTTGAAAGAAAGTCGATTATGAGACCTTTTTTTTTGCTTAGTACATCACAATTTGTGATATTCAGTTATGTTTTAAAAAAGATGTGAATTGGTTTATACTGAAAAGAAACTTGATTATATGATGAAAGGTTTACAATATTCCTGATGAAAGAAAACGATGTCAGAAAGATTGCTTTTAGAAACTGGAAAGTGTTGTGAACCTCTCATGTCTACAGAAATAGAATGGTAGGTTTTGGACTAAGATATTTTAGCTTAATGTCTTTGCTTTTACATGTTTCGAAGTCAAAATTAAGAAAAACTAAATTAAAATGTAGAGCTCTGGATTTCAAAAAACCAAATTGAACTTTAAAATTTGTTATATTGCATCATTATTTTCTGTTTTGCTTTTTAGCTAGCATTTAATAATAAATTTTTAAATTTTCAATGGATTTGTACAGAGCAATAGTTATTTATAAATCATATATCTTAAGTTTTAACATAAAATTTCTCTTAAGGAGACTTCATATAATCTTTGTTAATTAAACTTTCAGATTTGGAAACAGTTCTGTTATAAAGTAAATCATGGCTCTACACTGTCAGAAGTTACGACACCTTTTATGAAACTTTTTAAAAAGTAGGGTAATATATATTTAGGTGACTGCTTTTAATTGTATTTTAATTGAAATTGTTACTTAATGTTACAGACTAGTCCTTTTTAGGTCCTTTTTAGTTCTTTGATAATTTAAGTTTTATGTAAGTCTGGTCTTTCCTAGTTTTTGTTGTTTTTAATATTTTCTTTCATTGATAATTAATTTCCATTCTGCTTGCTAAAAACATCCAAAACTGACCATTTTTCACCATCTCCATACAACTACAGTCATCGAAGCCCTCACCACATTTCACCTGTGTGGAGACTCACATTTCATATTAGATTTCCTGCTTCCATTCCTTCCTCTGCACAATCTTCTCCTGACAAAGCACATAGAATCTTCCTAAGACATGTACTCCGCTGCCCCAAATCCTGGAGTGGCTTCTCATGGCGAAGTGAAGGGCGGAGTCCACAGTTGACCCTTAGAGTCCTCTTTGGCTGTTTCTCTGATCACACCTAACACTCTTACTTCGCCCTGCTCCAAACACAGGGCTTTCTCACTATCCTTGTCAAAGATTTTACACACACTCAAACCCCAGAATATTGGCACTTGGCCTTAAGGACTCTTCTTCTGGGTACTTGAATGAGTTGCTCCCACACTTCATCTGAGAATTGATGGAAATACTTTGGATCAGATGCTGTCCCTGACCTCTCATATCTGAAAAAGGGTTTTTATTTGCAGAGCAATCTACATGCATAATTGTACATTTTTAGGCCTTTGTCTCATCTATATCTGTTTTCTTACTCAGGCTTACTTTGACAACAGATAGTTTTAGCAGTCTATTTAATTAAATTCTTTTAAAACAAATTAATTTTATAGAAAAAAATATGTTTTTTTGTACTGATAAAATCACTACCTTATAAAATTTTATTAACTATCCTAATTATAAGAACAGTCACAGTTGGCATAAATGTTTTGGGAATAAACACACCTGATGCTTTCTAAAGCTAAAACTTAATACTGGGAGTAAAGTGTGGGCTTCATTCTAGAGTTGTCTCAGATAGACCCAGCAGATAGACCACTGTGGACATCCGTCAGAATATTTTACAGAAGTGGAGAGTCTTTGTCAGTCATCCAGGGAGTTGATCAAGAAGAGCTTAATTTAAAAGAATTTGACTTGTAGTTAAAAACAGAAACTGAAATAAACTTTGCTTGATTATATAAAAGAGCTCTTCTAGATTATTCTAGCTTTTATTGTTGGATTAGTTCATCTTGAAAATTATATGTCTATAATAGAAATTTTCACATAAAATTAATTCCAAGAGTGGGAATAAATGGCTACTAGAAAATTGCTGCTTTTCTTAAAATAACATATTGTAAGAAATACATCTAATGAAATAATTCTGGAAATGGATAATAGTGATGGTTGCACAACATTGTAGTTGTACTTAATGCCACTGAATCAAACACTTAAAAATGGTAAGTTTTATGTATATGTTACCACAATAAAACTAAAATATAAATACATCTATACATAAAAAATAATATAAATAAAGCTGTGATAAATTATTAATGTGTAATATGGAAGAAAAGGCAGAATTCATGGAATTAGAGGACCTGTATTTATGAGTACTAGTTCTACCATGAATGAGTTGAATACATACATTTTGGGAAATCTTTTACATTTTCTTAGCTGTAGTTTTCTTATGTTTAATGTGAACTTACTTGTTTTTCTCAACTCTTAACGAGTTTTATGAGGAACAAATGAGGTTATTTATATAAAAATATTTTATGAACTGTAAGTGAGTTTATAGATTTTAGGTGGAATTTTTCATACTTTTGGAAGAGTAATTCATTGAACTGACTGTTGGTGTTGCATATAATATTTCGACTTGAGGCATTTGCTGTTGAGGTTTTAAAAATATTTAAATTGCTTATTTAAAAATTTTTGTTTTTTTTTTTGTGTGTGAAAATGCAGCTGTTTTCTCCAGGGTATAATTAATTGAGAATGGAAAAGTTTAGCTTATATTTGGAAAGTTACACTTCTTATTAACATTATTAAATGTTCACGTTTTTATTATTGATGTCTTTTCTTAGCAAGTCCTCTTCATAACTTCTGAAGGGAAAGCCATACCAGCTGAGACAGATGCTGGATAACGTAGCTTTTCCTTTCTTACTTGAAGTCAGTGTATTAGAAAGCAATGATCAAAAAAAGGTTTATGCTGTGGGTCAGGAAACAGTAGACAGGACAGGGTACAATGAGGTTATAAATCAGATTTAAGTAATAGAAAATAATTTAATTTGGACATTGATTAAAGTGCATTTCTAGTTTCTCACTTTCAATGGACTAAAAGATATTTTTTCCCTCTGAATAAGGAAACAGTGAGTTGCAGGAAGTGAGTGTTAGTTAATTTACAGAGTGTTTTTGCAAAACTAGAGATCAAATGTAGCAAAGTCGTAAATAGAAAGCTCACTTTGAAGAGCTCTTTTGATAAGAAACAGAAAAAATAGTCAGAATTTAATTAAGTGAAATCTTTACTGAATCTTCTATTTTGAGCATAACAAAGAACTTTGTGATCTAGGATGCAATATATAATACTAAAAAGTTGTATCTTCAGAATTCACTGTTTTAAACATCTTCCATCACTTACTGAATAAATATATATTGACAATGATGAACAGTTCTGTGGTCTGTGTTCAGTTTTAGGTGATTCTTTTTTTCCTAGTTAGTTGTAACATTTCTATTTGCTTCAGAATTACTTCAGCTAGATGTATGGCCTGTTGACATATTTTAAAATTTTAAATTTGCGCGCCTTTAGGCAGCATACTCAGTCTCCTGCTTGCCAGGGTCTCTACGCCTTACCACAGTTCTTTCACTTAAGCGAAACGTCTGACCTCTGGAGACATGTCACTCCTGCTGAACCTCTGCATAACAGGCACAAGGCAAGGATAAAAGGAAAAGGTTAATTCCTATCTGTCTAACCCCTACTTGCAAAATGCTTACCTTTTCCTGTCTTGCTTCATGAGTGGGGATTCCCATGAGGTTTGGATGAGCAAGTCAGAAACCAAGTGATCTTTAAATTATCCCTATGCATGATATAATCTCCTGGTTTTAGTTATAGCTTTCTAATTTTTCAAGCGCTACCAAGTCTGTTTGTCATTTGCCATGATGTATCATTACTAAAGGACTATGCTGCATTTCCCTTACTTTCTGGTGGAAACTAAAGACTTCTAGGTTTATTTAGTTATTTCTTATACTTTTTGAATTGATATTTTGGGAAATGATACATTCCTTGGGGACCTCTTTTCGGGGAGGGGTCTATTACTAATGCAGTAATATTTCCAATTATTTTTAAATGAATGTCCTCAAAATGTATTGGTTAAGCTGTTTATGTGGTAATAGAACTTAAAAATAAATCCTGTAAATTATTACTAATTTGAAATGAAAAACTCTGAACCATCCAGGTATCACTGTGTTTAAAATTGCCCTGACCACACTGTCTGTCTTGCCTACTCTGACTTATTTTTCTTCATCAGACTTTTCTCCCCTAAATTGTGTATTTGTTTCTTTATTTGCTGTTTTTCTCTTCCTACTATAGAAGCACGTGAACAGCGACTTGTTTCTGATTATTGTTCTATTTCATTGCTTAGAACAGTGTCTGACACATAATGAGAAATTTACTATATATTTCATGCAGGAACACATGAAACCCTTCTCATTCAACTTTATTGCGTTCTCTTCTGGACACTGCCCTCTCTGTCCTACCTTCAGCATTCCTTTCCTTTAACTTAGTACATCTAAAACACGGTAACTCTCCATTCTCTGAGCCGCCCCCACGCCGTTGTCCTCAGAATGACGTCAGTCTTTAAGCATATCTCACTTAATCTTCTCACGTCAATGCAATTTGTTGTCTCTCTGCCTGGTTTCTTAAAATTAAACCTTTGAGCTCCTTGAGGAAAAAACTCTGGTGTCCTTATCTCCTTATCCCCCATACCTAACACGGTGTCCAAAGATGCTCAAGAAATGTTTACAGAGTGAAGGAGTAATATTTTACATTGGAAGAAATGGAAGCCTGGAGGTGATATGATACATGCTGTTGATTATGCCGCCAGTTAGGAGCAGAGTCGGACTGACTGCCCCAGTCCAATGCGCTGCCACTAACGGGAGTGGATTTTGGTTTTTTCTTTTTTTAACAAAAAGTCTTTGTTTTTTCACTTACAGATATTGATGATGTTAGGAAGTACAAACCTGGTTACTTGGAAGCTACGCTTAATTGGTTTAGATTTTATAAAGTACCAGAGGGAAAACCAGAAAACCAGTTTGCTTTTAATGGAGAATTCCAAAACAAGGTGAAGATGCTAATCTTTATTTTTAAATGTGCCTGTGATACCTGTATAATACTTCTTTCACTTTGGGGGGGTTCTTATGTGAATATTTGTGTATTACACAAAAGTGCTTTTTACTGACTTTCATATTTAAGGACATTATTTTATCATTTGTTTATTTTTTAAAAAGTTTGAGGAGATCTCTCTAAGTGAATCAATAAGACTAATAAATACCTTTATCCATCTGTTTATCTATGTCTGTTTCCTTCATCTCAGGCAACAGCAGACCTGAGGGAATGTTTTCTCTTCAGAAGTAAATTTCCCCATCATTCAGCCTCAGTTCCCAAGACTCTCTATTTTCTTCATTCTTATCATAATGTGTTTAGTTGTCATTGAAAGAGAAAGGAGCTAGCACAAATGAGTTAATATGTAAGAACTCTGCCTAAGGAAAATTACCAACATTTTGGGAAGGAAAAAACTCTAGAGAATTTTCTGCTTGGGAATAATAAAGCAAGTTTTCCTTTGATGGTCTTACTAGATACATATCTATTGTTGATTTTGCCTTTTTAGATACTATATGAATTCATATTAAGAAAAAATTAGAAAATATTAGGTTTCCTACCTTCAGACAGTGGATAGTCTAAAATGATTATGCAATTAGGCTACTTACAGCTTTGATTTCATCATCATCATGATGAAATCAAGAGGTATATGCTTATTTACAAGCCAGGCACTAAGCTAAACACTTTGTATACATCTTATTCTTTCAACGACTTTGTGATTTAAATCAGGGGTTGGCAAACTTTTTTCTGTAAAAGACCAGATAGTAAATATTTTCGACTTTGTAGGCCACAGAGTCTCTGTCACACCACCGAGCTCTTCCATTGTGGCGCTAAAGCAGTCATAGGCCATGCACAAGTGAAGGGGCATACTTGTGTTCAGTAAAACTTTATGTACAAGAGCAGGTGGCGGGCCGGATTTGGACCACGGGCCCAAGTTTCCCAACACCTGATTTAGATTATCTTCATTACATTCCATTTTATACTTGAAGAGATTTGGACAATGAGATTAAGTAATTTGCACAAAGTTACACAGCTGGTAAATAAGGATGTCAGAGTTTACACTCAGGTTTGCCCGACTCCATAGCTCATGTTCTTAACAATTAACTGTCATACTGTGAATAGTTCCATGTTAGTATAATGATGTGATTGCTGTGTCTATTTTTGATTTGTAACTAGGCTTTTGCTCTTGAAGTTATTAAATCTACTCATGAATGTTGGAAAGCATTGCTTATGGAGAAGTGTGATGGAGGGGCTATAAATTGGTAAGAATTTGTCTTTTCAATTGTATTGTTATTTGATTATTAATTGGTACTATGGAGCCATGCAATACTACTCATCTGATTTTTTTGAGAATTGCAGTTTTTTTTTTCATTTAAAAAATGTTTACAGAGCACCTATTTAGAAGGTATTACCAAGTGCTGGGCACTGTGAAACTAGGAATTGACATGGTCCCTTTTCCCAAGGGATTTATAGTTTAGTGGGGGATACTGTCAAGCAGACAGGCATTCAGTTATAATACAATGTGATACATGCAAAGGTGGAGTAAACAACAATTTTTCAACATGCAAACCTATGGTTATTTAATTTATATGATAACTACCACACTATTTTCTTGGTAAGAACAATAAAACGCCTCCTTATCCAACATGATCTTGGTCACCAGGTGGTTGATTGAGGGGAATCAAACAATAGTAACATATATAACTGAAACATTTTATTTTACTTTAAAACATTTAAATGTACATTTACTTATCAGTCTTTGGATATAAGAGCTAAGACTTTTTCTGTATAGATTCTGTATAGATTATATGTAGTCTAATTTAATATATAATAGAAAATAATGTTCAGATCCTGTGATCCTTAAACTCCTTGAACTTAAAAAGCGTTATAAATGTTTAGGGTTTTTTTCCCTCTAACCTTTTACAGTTGTGTTACCCGCACCTAACTTGACACCAAGGTTTTATAGTGATTCTCCTTTTTTGAGGCTTTTTAGAGCCTCAGCAGTTTTAGAGCCTACTCAGTGTTCCTAGACACAGTTCTCTTTCCTCACTGCCTTCATCCATGAGTGTAATTACAGCTTAAATTATGAAATTATAGTAACGAGAGCAACTGACATAAAAGGCCTGGAAACAAAAACAGCTGACCCTGGGTAAGCCTAACTGTAGGAGGTGAAAGTACACATTCTTTCTGGAGAGCAGAGTCCTACCCAGCTTCACTGTTCTCTTTGAATGAGGAGAAGCTGGGAAGCCATTCATTCTTCTGACAGATACTGACAGAGGGGCTCCTGAGAGGTACTGTGCTGGTGGTAGGGTTCCTGCTGCGAATACAGTGGAGTCCCTGTTCTGCAGCACTGGGTCTGGGAATCCACAGACACATTTAATGAAGTCATTGGAATAAAGTAACATGGAGTAAAGAATTAGTCAGTCTCAGGGAATATTTTATCCAAGTCATCAAAAGGCTCATCTTTCCTCTGCATGAATACTTGGGCATGACAGCTTCAGAATCAGCTTCTCTTGCGGGCTAGAGTGACACTGTCAAGTAGCTGATCTCCTTCCATGTTTCTTACTGTTGTGTAGATCATTCTTTTTTTTTTTTTTCCCAGCAGTCTTAAAATTGAGGTAATTCTTCCTAACTTAAATAGTACAATTAATTAACAAAGAAACTGGGTATAATTAAATGTCATCTAGCCCTGACTATCCTAGTAACTAATAGACTGAGCTCTTCTTTATGGGCATTCATTCTAAGTCAGATGTTAATGTGATGAGCTCCTCTAAAACGAAGGGGTCTTCAGTTGTCCAAAGAGGTATTTCATCTCCTTCCTAAAGGTAACTTTCTGACAAGCTTTTTCAGTCTTTGATAGGACTTGCATGGTTTCCAGGTTTCCTGAGGGGCACAGCTAGAGAATGTCTCTGGCTAGTTTTTCTAAAGCCTGACACCGTTCCTTCTGTGCCAATCCTAATCATCTTTACTGTGAGGGTAACTGTTTCTGTGCTCTGGAGTCATTTTGCTGTAGCCAGCTAGGTAATGATAAGGAATCTATTAACAATAAGAATTGATATTTTTTGAACTCTATACTACTTTTCAGGTTCAAAGGGTTTTGTATGTTATCTAATTAATATTTGCAATATTAGATATGTATAAGATCTGTATCATTATTATATTCATTTTACATATGAGGAGATTGAGGCCATGTAGAGATTAATGGACCTATCTAAGGTCCCTGTGTGTGATGGAGCCAGGATTTAAGCCAGATTTCAAACTTAGTCTCTTAACAGCTATTTTTTTCTCCACATTTTCAAAGAATACAACAAAATAATTTTATTTTTGCTTAAAAGTTTGGGGGATAAAAGTTTCTGGATATAAATTTTATGCATCTAGATAATTTAAAATCAAAATCTTCTGAATTTTAACTCACTTTTACCCATGTTTTCCTTATTTTTTTTATCACTGTTTGATTTGTAAAATATATTCATGATTGTTAAGTTCTTATTTCCTTTGTCCTTACCTAATAAATTGCTTTTCTCCCTCAGTTCCTTTAAATGTACTCTGTTATTGATTAGCAAAGCTCCCTCCCTTCCATTTTAACCTGTTTTCCCCACTCAGTTCAGTTCAGGTCTGAACTGAGGACACTATCACAGTAGTTCTCTCCAACAACGTATAGCACAGTGCAGTTTCCTAGGGAAATCATTCAGACATTCAAATGCATTGTCCTCGTCTTTAAACCTGATGAATTAGGCTCTCTGAGAAGTAGTGTCTAAGCATCTGTATATTTTAAAAGCTCCCTGGTGCTTCTCATGAACGTCTCTGCTTAAGAACTGTAAAATCCAAACTGCTCATAGCTACTTTTGATACTTATCTGGCAGGGGAGATACCATGATGACGAAGGTGGTTTTCCCAGGGCCAGGCTTATCGGTTGCAACCTGGATGTGCTGACCCCTGTGATTTCCCCAAATGTGGGAAACTTGACTGCATAATTTGTGGTAGTGGGGGACTGTGTTCACGCTCTCCCCTAGTAAAAAACTAAATAATAATTTTCTGAATCAATAAATAAGTATCAATCTGTGTTAACTTTTTATATAAGGGCCAATTCTGAGAAAATAAGTGTTTCTCAGTAGAATACCTATTATTACACCTTTAAACATTCAAAATCAAAATCACCTCCTTAAATCCTGAGGAAAGTATGTTGCAACCCAGATTACATTCTTGATTAACTGAAAGGCTGTTAGTGAGGAAGGTGGCACTGTTTGTAGCAATAAAATGCTAAAAAAAAAAAATGGAGGGACGCCTATTGAAGAAATAGTGACAAGGGGCTTTGTAATCTCCCCTCTTTTGTATCTTACACATCACACAAGGATCTCCTAAGTCCATTGTATATACCTTCCATTTCTTTCTTGAAACAGCCATACTCATGAGGTGTCCAAGGTGAAAAGTGTCAGTCTTTTGGCTCTCCTAGGTTCTGCTGGTTACTTGTCAGAATATTTTTATTGGATTTATTTATAATTTTTCAAAGTTATTCAGTTTTTTAAATTTGCAGTGCTGGCTTTAATATTTTTTCTTTTCTAATATTTCTGTTGATGGCTTTGCCTTGTTATGGGAGTAGAGGATTACTTTAGAAATAGACGATCAGATTTAACAGACAGAAATATAGGACATCACTTATATCTAAATTTCAGATTTCAGTATAAATGTCTCATGCAATACTTGGGACATACTTATACAAAAAAATAATTCGCTATTTATCTGAAATTCAGGTTTAATTGAGTGTTCTGTGTTTTATCTGTCAACTCTATTTAGAGCAGACTCCCTGTTCTCTCATTATAGTTTTCACAGAATTCCCAAGGAATGTTTCTCTTCAGTGTAGTTCTAATGTTAAAAACATTAATTATACCATGTTTCATATACATCACACTTTCTTCAGAGGAGTAGCGCTCAAGACTTTACAGTGCCTAATTTTTTGCCTGTTCTTTTTAAATTTAGTTTTGATTTTCTTTAGAGAAACATCTAACTTAAAAGGCCTTACCTTTTTCAGGTTTTAGCTTACTTACTCATGAGCTGTGGAGAAGGGAGTACAAAGTAGTTTAGTCTTAAAGATGATCATGCCAGCTTTCACCAGACATCCACATTCATGCCAAGAATGAAAACGAATTCCACATTTCGAGTCTGGGTAGAAAGCAAAATGACCATTTTCGTAATCACTCTGTACCCAGTGCCCGATCACAAACAGGTGTAGTTAAGAAGATAAGTAAGTAACTAGGCAGACCTTTCTATCCTCTATTCCCCAGCATATCTTACGAAGCCATTGCCAAAAGGAATCTGATAACGTGTATCCCTCAGACCCACTTGCCTGCACATGCGTGAGTGTGTGTGTGTTTCATCTGTTAATACCTCCTTTAGGGATCTGCTAGTCACGTATGCCTTCAATTTTGAAAAATAATTTGGCTTTAACTCCCCTTTTCTACTACCTTTTTCTGTATCCATATTAATCTGATTTCTTTGAAGAAGTTTTTAAAAATTGGACTGAGTACATCTGAGAGGAATGACGTCCTTGCTTTCATCTGGAAAGTAAGACAGGCCTGGTGGCATGCTTGTGGAGGCAGTGTGCTGTTCCCCATTGTCTGTGAAGGCTTTTGAGTTGATGGAGCCTTTACCGATGGGGGAGCAGCTGCTGTCCATGCCTTGCTGAACTTCCTTACTTGTACAAAAACCAAGTTCTTGTGTTCATATGGTTTCCTCTCACCACTTAATCTTCCCTCCCTGCCTGAGAAAGATTCCACAGTACCTTTTCAGCAACCAGTTACAGTGTTTACCACCACACTTAGAGGAAAATTATTCCTTATGGTCATTATTCTATGGGTCAAATTTGGTTTTTCTTTTCTTCGGTAAAGTGTAGTATAATAGTCAACTAATCTTCGACAAAGGAGGCAAGAATATACAATGGAATAAAGACAGTCTCTTCAGCAAATGGTGTTGGGAAAACTGGACAGCAGCATGTAAAACAATGAAGCTAGAACACAGCCTTACACCATATACAAAAATCAACTCAAAATGGATCAAAGACTTAAACATAAGACAAGATACAATAAACCTCCTAGAGGAAAACATAGACAAAACATTATCTGACATATATTTCAAAAATTTTCTCCTAGAAGAAATAAAAGCAAGAATAAACAAATGGGACCTAATGAAACTTACAAGCTTCTGCACAGCAAAGGAAACCAGAAGTAAAACAAGAAGACAACCTA